ATGGTGTCCCACTGGTCCTCAGTGTTTGCTTTTCCTTTTTTTTTGCTTCTCAGACTTGATGATTTTAATTGTCCTGTGTTCCAGTTTGCTGATTCATTCTTCTGTCTGCCAAAATCTACTTTGAACTCATCTGGTGGATTTTTCATTTCAGTTATTTTACTTTTCACTCCAAAATTAATTTATTTCCTTTTTATAATTTCTGTCTTGTTATTTTCATTTAGATCATACATCATCTTCCTGTCTTTGTCTATGTCTTCCTTTATCTCTTAGGCATCTTTGTAACAGTTGTCTTAAAGTCTTTGTCTAGTAAGTCCAACATCTGGGTTTCCTCAGGGAAAGGTTCTGCCTGTATATTTTGTTCCTTTGAATGAAGCACACATTACTGTTTCTTTGTGTGCTTTGTGATATTTTTGTTGAAAATTAGATATTTGAATCTTATAAAGCGGTAACTCTGGAAACAGATACTCCCGTTTCCCCAGGGTTTGCAATTTGTTTTGTTTTGGTTTGGGTTTTTGTGGTTCAGTGGTATCTTTGTGTCTGGGAACAACCTGAAGTCAAAGCTTAATGTCTTCTCAGATCTTTTCTGAGCCTGCATCTTTTCCTGGTCATAGCTAGTGGCTTTCTAAATTCTCCTGGATATTGCAGTTACTTTTAAATGACTTAGTCCTTAAATGTCTGGCTCCTAAAAGTGGAAAAAGGAGAAAAAAAGTGCTGCTCCTTGAAATTTCCTGGAAGCCACTTCAACTGGTGGGGGTTGCAACAACATTGGCCAGCCTCTGTGTCTGCACCTCAGTGATCAAAAGCAGCAATCAACAGTCAATACACAGAACCTGGATATTTGTAGGATAAGGTCCTTATTGCCCACCCTGGCTCCAGCAAGCTGCTTCAGAAGCATGGGCATGACTGCCTGCTATGGGGCAGGGGGTGGAAGACAGATAGTTGCTGCTACCACACTAAAGAATGAAACTGACAGGGCTGGCCAGTTAGTTCAGCTGGTTAGAGTGCAGCCTTGCAACACCAAAGTCAAGGGTTCGGTTCCCTGTACTGGCCAGCCACCAAAAATAAAATAAAATAAGAATGAAACTGACCAAAACTAACTTCAATTTACCAGCCAAGTTTTCCCCTGGAAGCTGGAAGCTTTCAAATAGGCTTCAGAGTTTCAAAATAGTTACTTCAGACAGTTTTTGCCAGTATAATTGTTTTCTAGGTGGAGAGATGGATTCCTGGTGCTTCTTACTCTGCAATCTTCCCTGACATCACTGTCTCTCTTGGTCATTTTAAGACAAGCTCTGATAATAAATATCAATTCAGTTTAACTACAGCTTTTTGAAGACTATCCTATGTAAGGGTATCCTCTCTTCTGGAGGCTGCAAAGGAATCGGAGGAAGACAGGAACCCAGCTCATCATGTCGCAAGGTTGATGGTAAACAGCATAGCAGAAACCCAAACAAGATGAGGAAAGGCTCAGGAAGGAAAGGAAAAAAGGCTTTAGTGTGGAGGTGGCCTCAAGGATGGGCAGGGGTTAGGGGGTGGGAGGTGGGGATGATGGGGCAGTGAGCCAGCAAGAAGGCTGAAAGGAAACTTGCCTATGGGAGAAGGTTTGGACAGGGAGAAGAAACAGGATGAACAGAGATCTGTAGGGAGAGACGCTGAAGCACATGTGGGATCCTATGGGCTGCCACCGCCACATCTCCCAGATCCAGGAGTTCTCCTATGTCACATCTTGTCTCCTCTCTGCCTACCCCATCCAGTATAAAGGTAGTTGGTGTATATGGGTCAGTCAGATACAAATTGGGAGAAATCAATTGGTGGAAGTGGATGAAACTGAAGGCAAAGTGAAGCTCAATGACCATTCAGGAAGTTAATTACATGCCACGTACAAGTCACAGCCCACACCTTAAGGTATACAGGAAACCTAGCTTCCTTTATTCTTCTAGAAACCAACCTAATCTGTACTTTCGAACTCCATCCCAGTCCCTGCTGGGTTCCTAATCACTTCAGTTTTTGCCCCACTTTCCCTGAGTCTGTGTCCAAGTTTTATGAAGATGCGTCAGGTCCTGTGACATCTGGGGTATTCATTTCCTAGGGCCCCATAACAGCACCACAGATTGGGTGGCTTAACCAACAGAAATGTTTTGTCTCACAGTTCTGGAGGCTGGAAGGGCAAGGGCAAGATGCTGGCACGGTTGGTTCCTCCTGATGGCTGTGAGGGAGAATCTGTTCCGTGCCTCTCTCCTAGCTTCTGGTGGCTTGCTGACAGTGTTTGGCATTCCTTTGGGTATAGAAGCATCATCCCGGTCTCTGCTCTCATCTTCTTATGGTGTTCTCCCTGTGTGTGTATATCTCCAGGTATCCTCTTTTTTTTTAAGATACCAGTCATATTGGATTAGGGGCTCACCCTGCTCTAGTATGACCTCATTTTAACTAATTACATCTGCAATGGCCCTATTTCCAAATAAGGTCACATTCTGAGGTGCTGGGGGTTAGGACATGAAGTGGGGACAATTCAGTTTGTAACATCTTGACATTCAGGATCTGTTACATCACTCATCTCTTCTCTGGTCCCAGTGATGGCAGCTCACCTGTTGCCTTGGAGACATCTCTCCTGTTGACCCATGTGGCTCTGCAGGGGCAGCCTCTCTCTGCTCCTGCACACTGGGCTTTGTGGCACATTAAGAACCCATTCATTCTGCTTGCACCAATGCCTGGGCTCGGGTTCTTGGGGAGGCTGTTGGAGGTACCATCTACTCAAACACGCTGTACGATCATTTCTCTGAGATCCAGCTGCCTTCCTCGTGTTCCAGGCAGAAAACAGAACACTGGGGTCCTCTGTTCTCATATGCCATGAAAATTCTAGAGGTTTAGCCATTTCCTAACTTGGGCCTAATGTAGAGACCAGGACTCAGGGCCCCTCTATGTGACCCCAGTGTATAATCTCCCCAGGCCTCCTCCACTCCCAGGGGAGGGAATTGTTTTCTGGTGTGTATGAGGCAGACAGAGCAGTATGAAGGGAGCCTTTCCTTCTACTCAGGATGTTTTCTCCAAGGTGTTCGTGTAATCCAGGAGCTGGCAGACTATGGTCCATGGACCAACGCTGGCTCCCCACCTGGTTTTTTTTTTTTTTTTTTTTTTTTTTTTTTTTTTTTTTTTGTAGTTAGACTAGCTAAGGGTTTGTTATTTATTTTTTCTAAAATCCAATCATATTATTATTCTTTCTATGGTTTTCCTGTTTATTATTTGATTTATTTCTGTTCTGAGTTTTATTTTCTTTTCTCTTCTAATTTTGGGTTTAGTTTGCTAATTTTGAGTTTATTTTTCTGGTTCCTTGAGGCATAATGTTAAACAATCTATTTGATATCCTTATTCTTTTTTTTTTCCTTTTTGTCTTTTTTTGTGACCAGTAACGGGATCGCAACCCTTGGTGTCG